CTCCCCTCCCCCTCCGCCTGAATAAAATATGCAAATCTGTAAGCCACAGTCCATAAAAAACATAGGCTCTCATCCGAAATTGAGTGACAAAGTCCGTACCACCAAAAATCATTGGGAATAAATCAGCACCCATAAAACAAGCATATTTTCCCCCCTTCCCCATCCCCCCAGATAAAATCAGTGGAATAAATCAGCACCCATAAAACAAGTATATTTTTGTCCCCTCCCCAACCCTGCTCCCCCTCCCCTCGATTAAAATATGCGAAATCGTCCCCCTTCCTCGTCTCCTTTAAACACATATTTGCAATAGTCTTTTTTTCTCAAGAGACAACTTGACGCTTAGCACCGAGGTAAAAAACAGAAGAGTGATTTTCACATGAAAAACACAGATTCGCCCTGCTCATCAGTTAAAATTCACTTCGGATAATGCCATTCTTATAGCAATTAAATTTTTGTCGTCCGGTTTTTCGGTCACCAATCTCTTCAGCTTCTCCATATAGTTGTCGATGTTTGCTACCGTCGGGTATTCATCTGCAAGTTCAGATCAAATTTAAAACACTCTATGGAATCAAATTAATCCCTAAATTCGCCTCCTTCCGTCCCCCTCCCCCCCGTTCTCAATTATTACGCAACAGGTTGATCTTAACAATAAGTAATTTACAAGCGATTTCATTTTCCAAGAAACTACATCAAAAGTGGATTCCCATCCCTCGCATTTCTTGCATATTATTAAAAATCTAACAGAAATTACTTTTCAAGAACAAATAAAATCCTCAGAATCTTTATATAACAGCTATTTTCTTTTGAAAGCAATAAGACAGTTTGAGGGAGCACAGAACCAGTTGTTTACCAAAAAAGGGCATAACTCACCATCAATAGCAACATATGCAAGAGCGCCAATTAGTAACTTTGCCCATCGTTTCTTCGTCTTTATAACCCAATGCTGCTCATGCTCTTTGCGCAATAAATCAAGTCGATGCGAGAGCCTGAATTACGAATAACGCCTAATTTCAAAAGCCCTTCCCACCAGTGCTCTATCTGCCGGGTGGAAAAAGAGATGATTTACGCTAACTTCAAAAACTCACTGAAAAAAAGCATATTAAATCTCCAGAAAAGCTGTATGAAATAAACGATTTGATTACTTCCTTAAAATGAGCCTGACTAAATGAGGCACTGATTTCGCACTGAGAAGAAAAAAAGGCTTAGCATGAACAAGTTTCAGTAACCCACTCCCCCGCCTCCCCCCATCTGCTTGGAACAAGCAATATTTTAATTCATTCCTTTAAAAAATGATTGAAAAGATCACAGTTTAAGCTTTCACCAAAAAAAACCCACTTAGCACGATCGAACCTAACTGAAGCCTTCGAAAGAAGCATTTATAAAAATCGAAACCTAAGCAACCCCGGAGAAATGTTCAGTTCTGTACAGTGACTCAAATGAAAAGAAATGAGGCCCAAAAAATGAGGCGAATGAGGTGAACTATCGCACTGAGAAAAAAAGCTCTGGAAGAAAAAATTCTAACAGACTTCCCTGAATACCTGGGACAAGCTATACTTTAATTCAACTCTTTAAAAAAATGCCTAAAAAAATCGTAGGTTTATCTCCCACAAAACCATTTAGAATAAGTAAACCAAAAGAAGCAATTGTAAAAATCGAAACCTAAGCAACCCCGAAGAAATGTTCAGTTCTGTACAGTGACTCAAATGAAAAGAGGAACGCACTTTCCATTAAATTCCTTCCAATAGTTTGCTTCTTCCTGCTTCTCCTTCACCATTCGTCGCAATTTCTTCAATTTACTTTCTTGTGCTGAAAGAATTAAATGCAAAAAAACAGAAGTTATGAAGGCTTTACATCAGTAGACCAGGGTAGGCACGGTGTCGAGTTGCTCTGTGTGACTGTGCAATCCAAACTGCTAATAAGAAGCCTTCGATGTTTCTGAGATTTATTGTCTCGGAAACCATAAACGCCAAGAAGTTGAAATTTTGCGGTAATGTGCCTTGTTCACTATCTCGCAAATTTAAATTCAGCCTTCCCGCATACCCACGTCTAGCGGAATCAAGTCGTACTCAGATGAACCAAGGAAAACTTTTAGTATTTTCAGGGTTAGTTATTACGAATGTGTAAACGTGGCCAATGGCAAAGGCTCTTGGGATGGAGAAGTCAGTGGAGCGTAAGATTTCTATACTGTCACTTCGTGGTCCTATAAGCTATGAGATTCTCTAGCAAAAGAGGGGCATGTAGGAATGAATGGAACAAATGGATCGTCGCGAGACCACGAAAAGAAGAAATGAAATAGATTGTAAAACGCATATGTGTATTATACAAAGTTAAGAAGATATAAGGAGGACATGTAGGGAAGCTCAGTCACGGTGGCCAGATAAGGAAGTAAAGCCCGGAAGGGAACACTTCCTTGCCTTCTCCATAGCTAGTTAATTTCGCGAGTCAGCAAGCGGAACCACGGAAAAATCAGTGCTCACTTCGGCAAAATCCAAACAGATGGTGCATATACATTACCCGGCGATGAGTACTAAATGGAGATAAGCAGCTTTGGATCAAAAAAAGTGGAATCTTTGGGGGTACGGCGTGTATTTGGGGGTACGGCCTGCGTGACACCGACGACAATGACCGAATTGGACGGCCTTGGTAATTAATAGATATCAGTACCTTTATTAAAAGCAATGAATTCTGGCGTAAAAATAAGTATATCCCCGGCATGTGTCTTCCCATCATTCGATTCCTTCTGAAAACTACACAGCAGTGATTTGGTAGTTTCAGAATACAAGAAAAAATCAGCTGGGGGGATAAACTTTAACCTTCTTTCGTTTGATATTCTTCCTCTTTCCTTCTCCCTCATCATCACCATCATCACTACTGTCATCAGATGAGTCGACGCCGCTTCGCCGCCTCTTTAATTCCTCCATTCTCTTCTTCTTTAGCACTTCCTTGTTTTCTGAAAGCAACAGATTTTATTACTACCAAAAATGAAAAAATGCACGCGGTCTGGTGGATCTGAACAAGCGATGTAAGCCGAATATAGCATATAGGTCGGCCTTGGATGCCAAAACTGTCGAAGGTGCACTGAATACAGAAAGCAGGAACAGAATGAGGAAAGGAGGCAAGAGTGAGGTAAGACGTTCCGGCCCATTAAGTCACACACGTTCTAACTCAACTCTGCGACAGGACCTCGTCAATATGACGGTCACAGCATTTAATAGAAAGTTCAACAGTAAGCATCATTACTATAACAACAAGATCAATAAATAGCAACGCGCACCAGACTAGCCGGTGCGATCATGCGTTTTGTGCAATTCAGCCCATC